GAGGGAGGAAGGGATTGGGAGTTAGGGTGGGTCACTATCGTAGCCACCTCCACGTGGTGTGACCTGGTAATTGGTATAGTTCTCTGAAGGCTTTAAAAAATTTTTAGAGAACTATACCGAGCTAAGAGCTACAATTAGAATTTAAGTTGTAATTTTACTTATAATATTTATGAATACACGATAATGAGTATGCAGAATCGTTAATTACTCATTTTCTGAGCACAGTCTATGAACTTTTATGATTAAAGGATGTTCAGTGATTCCATAGCTACTTTTTCATATCACATATATCCACATTTTTATTGTAAATAATTAGTTAACACATTTTCTAAACACAATTTATGCAGTTTTACTATAAAAGAATGTTCAGTGATCCCTCAGCTACTTTCTCGTACTGTATTTGTTCAGATTTTTAATGAATTAAGTAGTTATTAACTAATAACTTAAGGCCAGCCACGGTGACAAGCGGTATACACGAGGTCATTTTGAATTATTAATTACACGTTTTGTGGATACATTTTGTGCAATTTTATGATTGAAGACTGGTCAGCAATGCATTATTTACATGGTTCGATCATAAAAGTTCATAAATAATGTTTGGGTAATGAGTAATTAATTATTTTGTGTCAGTATTGCGATATATACATGAGCCGCCTATGTCAATTCTACTGCGCATGAAAAGTGCAATATTTCGGCACTTTGACGACATAGTATGGTGCCTGAAGCATTTAGAAACAAATTTCTATTAGGATTTGATGCGTTTTCATGCCTAATAAAGCCAGAAAATCAATTTTTGTCGAATTCGGTCCAAAACGGTACAGGTGGCGCCATCTAGCGGCAAGCGACGGAACTACGAAAAACTAAAATTGCGGCGAAACTACAAAAAACTAAAATCTCGATTTTCTCGAAAACTAGGCACTTTTCCGAAATTGTGACATATACAAATTGTTCCTTATCGCCTACGGAATCGAATGAGTACTTTCGTAGCCCTCTAGGACCTTTATTAAAGAAATTAGAAAAATAGCCCACTTCATGGACCAAAAAATGGCCGTCCATCTAGCGGTGAAAGTTGGAACTACAAAAATATAAAAATGCGATTTTCTCGAAAATTAGCAAATTCTGAGTACTTCTGAGGCTCAGAAAGTGTCACGTGATCGCATTCGAAACAAAATAAAGCAATAAAAGTTTCCTAAAGGCTTTAATAAAGAAAATAAAAAAAATGTCATAAGCCCATTTCATGGACTAAAGAATTGGCGTCCATCTAGCGGTGAAAGTTGGAACTACAAAAATATAAAAATGCGATTTTCTCGAAAATTAGCAAATTTTGAGTACTTCTGAGGCTCAGAAAGTGTTATGTGATCGCATTAGAAGCAAAATAATGCAATAAAAGCTTCCTAAAGGCTTTAATAAAGAAAATAAAAAAAAAAGCATTTTAAGGAGAAAATTTGTGGCGCCATCTAGCGGCGGAACTGCGAACTAAATTCAAAAAACGTATGTTCGAACACGCGTTAAGGGCTCAATTAAAAATTGATTTTCTGGGCTTAATAGGCAAAAAAATGAATAACTTATTGAACAGAAATTGATTTATAATGTCTAAAGAAGTATACTACGTCCTCAAAGTTGCGAAATATTACTTTTTATATTTTGCCTTAACGCATGTTCGGACATACGGTTTTTTCAGTTTAGTTCGCAGTTTCGCCGCTAGATGGCGCCACTAATTTTCTCCATAAAATTGCATATTTTTCATTTTCTTTATTAAAGCTTTCAGGAAACTTTTATTGCTTTATTTTGGTTCTAATGCGATCACATAACACTTTCTGAGCCCCAGAAGTACTGAAAGTTCGCTAATTTTCGAGAAAATCGCATTTTTATATTTTTGTAGTTCCAACTTTCACCGCTAGATGGACGCCAATTCTTTAGTCCATGAAATGGGCTTTTTTTCTATTTTCTTTAATAATGGCCCTAGCAGGCTATAATTATATTCCTATTTTCTTTAATAATGGCCTTAGCAGGCTATAATTATATTCCTTCGATTCCTTAGGCGACAAGGAAAAATTTGTATATCTCAGAATTTCGAAAAAGTCCCTAGTTTTCGAGAAAATCGAGATTTTCTATTTTTGTAGTTCCAACTTTCACCGCTAGATGGACGGCAATTTTTTGGTCCATGTAATGGGCTATTTTTCTAATTTCTTTAATAAAGGTCCTAGAGGGCTACGGAAGTATTCATTCGATTCCGTAGGCGATAAGGAACAATTTGTATATCTCAGAATTTCGGAAAAGTGCCTAGTTTTCGAGAAAATCGAGATTTTATTTTTTCGTAGTTCCGCCGCTCGCCGCTAGATGGCGCCACCTGTACCGTTTTGGACCGAATTCGACAAAAATTGATTTTCTGGCTTCATTAGGCATCAAAACGCATCAAACCCTAATAGAAATTTGTTTCTAAATGCCTCAGGAATCATACCATGTCGTCAAAGTGCCGAAATATTGCACTTTGCATGCGCAGTGGAATTGACATAGGCTGCTCATGTACATATCGCAATACTGACACAAAATAATTAATTACTCATTACCCGAACATTATTTATGAACTTTTATGATCGAACCATGTAAATAATGCATTGTTGACCAGTCTTCAATCATAAAAGCTCATAGACTGTGCTCAGAAGGTGAGTAATTAACGATTTTGCATACTCATTATCGTGTATATTCGTCCTGCGCGCCACCCGCGCTTGCCGCAGAGGAATAATTACCAAAAAACCATATCCCCGTAGACTACTGCAAAATTGAATTTTCCTTGCGCTTATGTACTTGACCTTTCAACATTTTTGTCCACGTTTTTCTCTTGCACCACTCAACCAATTCAGCCAGATGACACGGTTGACTATTTTTGCTTTAGCGTGAAATTTACTCGTTCGCTCAACATTGTAAGGTTAGACGCGGTGCGCTTCAATCAAACAGACCTAGTCACTGCATTCATGTATTTGTTGCACTCTTTTATCAAGACAGGATATCAAGAACATTTCATTAAGAATTTAAATAAACCGCATACATGACACTTCACACGTGACATCATATAGATTTTCCAATAAACACCTCGTCCAATAATAAAGATTTATCAAACTTTCTCATAAACCTCAACCCTCGAAATATCTCTCGCAACACCACAAAAAAACTGACGCGTTGCGGGGTTAAAAATGATCACCAGTTACGTGTTTCTGTTGTGACAGTTCATCTCCGTTACTATAAACGACTATCGATTGCCCGAGGAGATACTAATTTAATATATCGGAATTACGTTGCGCCCTGATCGTGGCAGTTTCTCGCAGTTCCGTCATCGATACCGATCGCCATCGTGCAGCAAAAAACTCTCCTACGATGTGGAACTACGTGCTCTTCTCCACGCTGGTGTTAATTGTCTCGTTACTCTATCACTGTTGCTTCAACAGCCCGGTCAGCATTATCGAGCACCCTGACACGCATTACGATTATATAATCGGTAAGTGGAACGTCTGTTCTCGTCGTTTGAAAGTGTCGCTACGGTGCCGCAGTTGTCGTCGAATATGAAGTGGATCATGACGAAAGTGGATCATAACGGAATCGGTTAATCCTTCGATCTAATCATGTGATCGATGCGGATTTGTTTCGCGAACAAATCCGAAAGATTGCTGATGTAACTTGCGATTCGGTTGTACTATTACTGTGCAACATGGAGTGAGGGTTTATTTTGTATGATTTTGTAAAGTTTATATGATTTTCAAGTTTGTATTTTCAGTGATATCGGGAGAATTAATATTAGGGATGTTTTGATTTATTTACAGTTTAGAGATTTGGAGATCTGAGGGTGGAGAAATATAAGGTTCTGTATGTGTCAATATTGAGGTATGAATCTTGGGGTGTATAGATTTAGGGATGCAGAGATTTTAAGGGGTGTAGAAATTTGGGAGTATAGAAATCTAGAGATGTAGGAGTTTGGGACTATCGGATTCTACAAGAATAGGAACTTGGGGGTGCAGGAAATTTGGGAGTATTGGAACCTAGGAGTATGGGGTTCCATATTCCCCTAGGGCTATGGGGTTGTAGAGATCTAAGAATTTAGGGATCGAGGAATGTAGAGATCTAGGAGTGTAGGGATCTGGAAATTTAGGGACCTAGGGATGTAGGGATCTAAGGATGTAGGGATCTAGGGGTGCAGAGATCTGAAGATGCAGGGATCCTAGGATGTGGGGATTCAAGAATGTGGGGATCCAAAAATGTGGGGATCCAAGAATGTGGGGATCCAAGGATGAGGGGATCCAAGGATGTGGAAATATAAGAATGTGGGGATTCAAGGATGTGGAGATCCAAGGATGTGGGGATCCAAGGATGTGGGGATCCAAGGATGTGGAAATGCAAGAATGTAGGGATCCAAGGATGTGGGGATCCATGGATGTGGGGATCCAAGAATGTGGGGATTTAAGGATGTGGGGATCCAAGGATGTGGGGATCCAAGGATGTAGGGATCCAGGGTTGTAGGGATCTAGGGACGTAGAGATCTGGAAATGTGGAAACCTAAGGATGTGGAGATTTGCAGACATGAAAACCTAAGGATGTAGGGATCCAGGAATTTAGAGATCTAGGGATGCAGAGATCTGGAGATGTACGAATCCATATTTGTAGAGATCTAGGGATGCAGACACTTGGAGATGTAGATATCCAAGGGTGTAGAAATCTTGAAATCCAGAAACTCAGAGATGTAAGATATAGAGATCCTAAAATACACAAATCTTGAAATCTAAAGACCCATAATTAACCACCCAAAGTTTCCAAATTTCCAAATTTCTCAATTTCACCATCATCTACCTCCACTTTCAAAAACTTGAAAACCCCTATTCTTAAAAAATTTCTAAATATATTAAGATAAATGTTTTCGTGTCTCTTCAGTATCTGCACACTTCTGCACAGCAGTATAATATGCCACCGATGACCCTCGGTATTCACCGCGTTAAAGTACACTTTAATACCGTTTGAAACTTTGAGTCGCCCTCAGACCCTTGATAAAGCACGATTTAATCCTGGAAGCCTGAAATGGTATCAATTGTGAAAATTGGAATTATGAAAGGTTGAATAACAGTGATATACCTTTTGTTTCCGAAGTTGGTGCTGGTACTGCTGGTTGTGTAGTGGCGTCACGACTTTCCGAGGCATTAAACGTTACGGTGCTGTTGGTCGAAGCTGGAGGATATTTCGGATGGGTCTCCAGTGTTCCAATTCTGGCGCCCATGATGCAGGGAACTGAAGTCGATTGGTCTTATTCGACGGAGCCGCAAATGTTCTCTTCGAGAGGTCTACTGAATCATGTGAGCACATATTCTCTATACTAAAAACATAAAATAATTATATATAAAATAAAATAAGTGTAATCACATTGATATATTTCATATTTTATCAAAAGACAATTCTATAGCTTGATGTTTCTTTAAAACGTGACAAATTTGCAATTTTATATCACCTTCAAAATAAAATAAGTATAACAATTAATATATTTCATATTTTATCGAAAGACAATTCTACAGCTTGATGTTTCTTTAAAACATAACAAATTTGCAATGTTATATCACCTTCACAATAAAATAAGTATAACAATTAATATATTTCATATTTTATCGAAAGACAATTCTATAGCTTGATGTTTCTTTAAAACATAACAAATTTGCAATGTTATATCACTTTCAAAATAAAATAAGTATAACAATTAATATATTGCATATTTTATCGAAAGACAATTCTATAGTTTGAAGTTTCTTTAAAACATGACAAATTTGCAATGTTATATCACTTCCAAAATAAAATAAGTATAACAATTAATATATTGCATATTTTATCAAAAGACAATTCTATAGCTTGAAGTTTCTTTAAAACATAACAAATTTGCAATGTTATATCACTTTCAAAATAAAATAAGTATAACAATTAATATATTTCATATTTTATCGAAAGACAATTCTATTAAAACATAACAAATTTGTAATGTTATATCACCTTCAAAAAATGACTTTAATAGAGAATATACTCAGTACACATATTTTTAGTATTATTACTTATAAAAATTTATAACTGCATTTCTCCAAAATTGAAAACACATACATTACTTTATGCATTCATCAAAATAACAGAGTTCTATCGTTTCATTTATCTTTGTGACGATGATATAATTGTTCACGAACGTCCAAGGGTGGAAAGCGTTGATCGACAAGTTTTTATCGAACCACAGATACAAAAAGTGCCAAAGGGCAAAGGGTTGGGCGGAAGCGGGCAGATGAACTACCTGGTTCATTCCTTCGGAAGGTCGGAAGACTACAAAGCCTGGCCGAAGGGTTGGTCGCACGCCGATTTACTTCCGTACTTTAAAAAGGTGTCCGATATTATGAACGTAATGTCCAGCCCGGAGAAAGAATATTTGGCGGAAGCTTTCCTCATGGCGGAAGAATCGCTCAAGTTGAATAATGTGACTCTACAAAGAGGCTTGTACACCACCAAAAGAGGATCACGGTGGAGCACGTTCACCGCGCACTTGCAGAATGCTTGGAACAGAAACAACTTGCATATTTTGATGAACACGTTGGTCTCCAAGGTAAGATTTTTATTGTCTCAATTTTTTATTTATTACAATTTTGGAATTTTGGTATGTTGGAATTTTACAATGTTGAGTTTTGCAATGTTGGAATTTTGGAATTATAGGATTGTGAAAATCTGGGGGGTTGAAAGTGTAGGGTGTTGGGATTTTGGGACTTTTAAATTCTAAGACTAAGACTTTGCGATTTTTTAATTTTGGGGCTAAACAATTCTGCAATGTTGGAATTTTGGAGTTATAGGATTGTGCAAAATTTGGAGGGCAAAATGCAGGGTGTTGGAATTTTGCACTGTTGGAATTTTGCAATTTTGGAATTTTAGAATTATAGGATTGTGAAAATCTGGGGGGTTGAAAGTGTAGGGTGTTGGGATTTTGGGACTTTTAAATTCCAAGACTAAGACTTTGCAATTTTTTGAATTTTGGGGCTAAACAATTCTGCAATGTTGGAATTTTGGAATTACAGGATTGTGCAAAATTTGGGGCGAAAATGCAGGGTGTTGGAATTTTGCAATCTTGAAATTTTGGAATTATAGGATTGTGAAAATCTTGGGGGTTGAAAGTGTAGGGTGTTGGAATTTTGGGACCTTTAAATTGCAAGACTAAGACTTTGCAATTTTTTAATTTTGCGACTAAACAATTCTGCAATGTTGGAATTTTGGAATTATAGAATTATGAAAATCTGGAGGGTGAGAAATGCAGGGTGTTGGAGTTTTGGGACTTTTAAATTCCAGGACTGAGACCTTGCCACTCTTTCAATTTTGTAACTAAATAATTTTGCAACATTGAAATTGTGTAACATAGAAATTTTGAGGGATTGATATTTTATTTCATTAACGAAACATAATTACAATTGTGCAAAATTTTGAATCAAAGGCTACTTGATTCTTCATTAGTGACTGAAATGCATCTATAATTTTGTAGATACTTTTCAAAGAGAACTCAAGCGTGGAGGGTATTAAGGTGGTCTACAAAGATGGATCAATAGGAAAAATCTTCGCCAGAAAAGAGGTGATCCTCTGCGCCGGAACTATCAATACTCCTCAATTACTATTACTCTCCGGCATCGGACCGGCCGAAGATCTTGACAAACTTCAGGTAATCTGAAAAATTCCTTTGAAATATCCTATTCATAATATCTTGCTTCTTCCTTTATACAAAACTATGTAAATGTAAGAATAAAGAAGGATGTTTGTAGATACCAGTGGTGAGGAACGTTTCAGAAGTGGGCAAGAATCTGTTCGACCATTTTATGCTTCCGATGTACGTTACACTCGAGGCAAAAGTGAGCATAACTTTACTGAAGCTACAAACTCTTCCCGAAGTGCTCAATTACTTCATCTTTGGAAGAGGTGACTAAAATAGCGTCTCAATTATGGTACTTTCGTTGTAATATCGTGATTCTGTTTTTTAAGGATGGCTTGCGACTAACGGTATAATGGCGGCTGGTCGTGCGAATAATAGTGGTGTTATGCTTTTTGGGTTGGCCACTGCTGATGAGACGCTGCTGAAGTCCTTAGCTAATTACAAAACTGAGGTACTGATCATTTACTAAAAAATTAACTGATAAGCCTCTCTACTTCTTTCTACTTTTATTTTTTTTCTATTTGATCATTTATTCGAACAATCTAATACGAGCGTGCAATGGAAACTTTTCTATAAATCTTGTCTTGAATTTTCTCTTCTGTCGCACGAAAAAATTACACGTAAAAATTAAATGTACATACTAAATGAAAAATCAGTACAATTAAAAAATTCTGTTTGAAATCTCGTTTTGAATTTTCTCTTCTCTTATACGAAACAATTACACATAACAATTAAATGCATGTACTAAATGAACAATGAATGCAATAAAAAAATTCTGTTTGAAACAGCCTTACAGAGCATTCTATCCAACGTACAATAACATTACGCAGGAAGGTTGCTTGTTTCTGACGTATTGTCTGCAACCAAAGAGCCGTGGTACCGTTTCATTGAGATCTAGTTTTGTTGTATGAGAAAATTACACGTAACAATTAAATGTACATACTAAATGAAAAATCAGTACAATTAAAAAATTCTGTTTGAAATCTTGTCTTGAATTGTCTCTTCTGTTGTAGGAAAAAATTACACGTAATAATTAAACGCATATACTAAATGAAACATCAATACAATTAAAAAATTCTGTTTGAAATCTCGTTTTGAATTTTCTCTTCTCTTATACGAAACAATTACATGTAACAATTAAATGTACATATTAAATGAAAAATCAGTACAATTAAAAAATTCTGTTTGAAATCTTGTCTTGAATTTTCTCTTCTCTTATACGAAACAATTACACATAACAATTAAATGCATGTACTAAATGAACAATGAATGCAATAAAAAAATTCTGTTTGAAACAGCCTTACAGAGCATTCTATCCAACGTACAATAACATTACGCAGGAAGGTTGCTTGTTTCTGACGTATTGTCTGCAACCAAAGAGCCGTGGTACCGTTTCATTGAGATCTACCAAGATTCGTCATCACCCGAAAATCGATCCTGCCTACCTTGAAAATTACGACGACGTTCTATGCACCCACCAAGGTAAATGAACCTAACGTTCTTGCGTGAATTTCTTTCGCGTGACGAGTCTTCATTTTTCAGCCTTGAACTTCGTGATTCAGATGATCGGGACGAAACAATTCCGTGATTACGGCGCGAAAATTCATCATCCCGATTTAGCAGAATGTCGACACTTGCCGCAAGACTATCGAGATATAGAATATTCCGAGTGTGCGATGAGAGTCGGTGGTCTAACCACTCACCATCTGTGCGGCACCTGTAGAATGGGCGCCGACGATAATTCGGTTGTCGACGAAAATCTGCGGTAAAGTCTTCATTAATTATGTATAATTATGTTGAATAAGAAGCATACTTTAATAATTTAAATATTTTTTCGAATAATTATATTGACATTTTTGTGGCTGCTCTGATTTTTTAGAATTTTAAAAGTTCTTTCAAACTGACACTAATATATGATACTGTACTTTAATTAATTTTGTATTTTATTTCAGAGTGAGAGGAATTAATGGACTTAGAATAATAGACGCCAGCGTGATACCATCTCCCATTTCCGGAAATCCAAACTCTGTCATAATCGCTATGGCGGAACGAGCCAGTGATTTGATCATTGGTCGCACATCCGAGTAGACTAATTAATTATGATGTAACAGAGGACGATATTCAAAAATTCAAGCATTTAAAAAATTAAACTATTGTACAAGTTAAATGCATCCATTGTTTAATTTCGCAACTATAACCTTCACTCAGCTAACTTGCAAAATTGTTTAAAAAATGAAACGACACACTTTTGTATCTTTTAAATACGATACTAATAAAAATAATCAGAAAACACTTACCTTAATAAACTCAACATACATTTATATCTTATAAAATTATATTTATAACAATTTGTGAATGGACAAGAATTTTTGTTATTATCAAAGATAAAAATAAATCATGTAATTTACAAATTGGACTTGAATAAATTACATGACTTACAATAAATGTAATATTTAATTTACTATAACTTGGAGAAAAGGAACGAGAGGGTAGGTTAGGAAATAACATGTGGCTAGATTTTTTGTAATTTATAATTAATGGTAAAGTTTTCTTGTTTTACAGTAATCGAACAGTTATTAATAGTCTAATTAAATTTCGATTAATTTTTATACAAACAAAAAAAGAGGGTGAGTTACACTCAAACTCGGCGGTAGCACGAATCCCTGCCACCCTGCTGTTCGCGTTCGGAGAAAAAGAAAAAGAAAAAATCGTAACTTCGCGTTTCTTTCGCCATTTCATATTTTTCTTTCGTTCCACGATTCCCAACTTTCGACGTGTTCCTGATTCCAGTGCGGAATCTCAGAAGATGGCAGAGTTTCGACTGATTACTCCATCGTCGCGCTTGTTCTCATTCTCTCCCTCTCTGTCATTCGCACACGCTCTCCACCTCTTTTACTGTTCGCGCATTTCCATGTTTGGCGCAGAAACGCGTTTTACACGAAAAGCAACATCGAAACGCCGGAAACGAGTTGCAACGTTTTCACGAAGTCCCCTCGTTTTTCGCGTACATAAATAAAAAGAATTCGGTGAACTTTTTCGTCGACACGAACAGAAAATGAAAACGCAACTACACGTGGCTCGCAAGCTCCGTTCCAAGCTCGAGGTGCGCCGATTTTGGCGCCCCTTTGTGTCCCTCTTTCCCTCCTTCTTTCTCGTTATATCGCCCCTATCTATCTCGTCCTCGAAACTTCCTCCCTCGCAACTTACCCAATATAGTCGTAACGCAAAACTTAATCTTTCAACTTAAAACAAAAAAAATTGGTAACCACCGTGTCGCTCAGCTCTAAGCGACGCAAGCCAGCATCTCCTCTCCTCCTCTCTCCGTTTCACTCGTGAACAGTGCAACAAGAATAATGTTTAAATGTGCGCCGATTGTCGACGAAGCGAACGACGCGACGCGAACTCGAGTTACTCGCGTTCTTCTCGATTTCCGAAAGATCCTCGGAACGGAAGATTCGATCAAATGATTAAATGATCAAGATACGCGATACAGAGCAAATGAACGAACCGGAATGTTCCCGGTGAGAAAGCAAAATGCCCAATGATTATCTAGCTCGACGCACGGATCGATCGCTTCATCGATTGACCCTCGATCGAATTTCATTCGCGATCGAGAGGAGAACCCGATTCGCGTGGCTTGCACCGCGTCATCCAGCGATTTACGAATCGCTTTCTCCTTTCATTATTTTTTATTTTATTTTTCATTTTTAATCATTCCATTATTTTCATTCACATTTGTGTGTCTGTGTATATATATATATAATATATATTTATTTATTCATTTATTTATTAATATTTTTCCTTTGTCTTCGACGTGGTGTCACATTGCGGGGCGACGAGTTCGGGGCTCCCTTACGACCTAAACAAGTACTCCTTAATATTACATATATATGTATATATATATATATACTCTATCTATTTATATATTTATATATTTATATATATATTCATTTATATTTATATTGAAAAAATGAGTGTACTCTTTCGTTATCAATAGGAATAGTATCGATTAATTTGCAATTGCGTGTAACATAGACGCGTCCAGCGCATAGAAACATAAATAAATAAATATAAACGGATGTTTATTTACATGTACGGGTGGCTGAGAAAGGATGACGGGGTTGTCTGATGCTGAGGATGAAGAATTCGGAATAAAAGGATATATCCGATATATTTATTCACGGGAGCTTCCGGCAATTATAGTTTCTCATTTTTTTTATATATATATATTTCTCTCTTTCTATATATATATATATATATACTTTTATGTGTGTGTATATAAATATTTATTATTTACGTATATATTATTTAGATTGTTATCGGTGTTCTCATGGTTGTTTGTCCTTTTCACGTTCTTCCTTAGCAGAGAAAATGGTGACGCGACGTCCAACGGGACGAGGCGGTCGCGTAGAAAAATAATACTTCTGAACGGGATACGAGAAAGAAAAACCGAGAAGGAACCGTGTAAGCATCCATCAAAAATACTACGAATTGTTAATAGTATGAGACACGCAAAAGCTTCCATCGAATTATCTTTATTTGTTATTTTGAACTGAAGTTTGTCAGAAATTTAGAAACCCTATATCAAACATCAATTTACAATAACCAAACATTACATCATGAAAAAAGCGAAAGGTAAATTAGATTTTTAAACGATGAAAAATATTTTTGAAACTAAAAATGAAGTTGAATGCAAATAGTTCCATCTTATAGTCTCAAAAAATATTTATAGAAATTGTACACTGTAGATATATCAAAGTAAATGTATTTTGACAATCTGTGACGAAAGTAATCTACATAAACGTTCATTTAATTTTACCACAAAATTTTCGCGACAAACTATAACGACATCAATAAATAGCGTCTCAGTGATTATGCAAATTAACGTCGTGAAACAAAGCAGGCTAAAAATGTTACTAAATCTCCTATTTATACAAGTACGATGGAAACTTTTGGACATCTCCGATTAATCCGATGATCTATATGTACGATACAATGCGTGTAGATGCGTGTATGTTTGTATCTGAGGTAGAAGCGGTTTCGTATACACCTATGTACGTATGTATATTAAAATGTGATTGCTCTCACCGTTTGCTCGTTTCTTTGAAGGAAAACGAAGAAGCAGGGAGAAAATGGAGTGATCGAGAAAGGAAAGGAAGAGGAGAGGATTATTTTGGGTAACCAGTGGCGTTTCAATCAGAAAATGCAACCGAACGGATGTCCGAGCTTTTTAAGGACATTTCACTGCGAGAAGGCAGTTTGATTATTTCAAAACTATGCACAAAATATTCGCTTCTGTTTTGGATTTGTCAATATACACGATTATTTACGTATATATTATTTAGATTGTTATCGGTGTTCTCATGGTTGTTTGTCCTTTTCACGTTCTTCCTTAGCAGAGAAAATGGTGACGCGACGTCCAACGGGACGAGGCGGTCGCGTAGAAAAATAATACTTCTGAACGGGATACGAGAAAGAAAAACCGAGAAGGAACCGTGTAAGCATCCATCAAAAATACTACGAATTGTTAATAGTATGAGACACGCAAAAGCTTCCATCGAATTATCTTTATTTGTTATTTTGAACTGAAGTTTGTCAGAAATTTAGAAACCCTATATCAAACATCAATTTACAATAACCAAACATTACATCATGAAAAAAGCGAAAGGTAAATTAGATTTTTAAACGATGAAAAATATTTTTGAAACTAAAAATGAAGTTGAATGCAAATAGTTCCATCTTATAGTCTCAAAAAATATTTATAGAAATTGTACACTGTAGATATATCAAAGTAAATGTATTTTGACAATCTGTGACGAAAGTAATCTACATAAACGTTCATTTAATTTTACCACAAAATTTTCGCGACAAACTATAACGACATCAATAAATAGCGTCTCAGTGATTATGCAAATTAACGTCGTGAAACAAAGCAGGCTAAAAATGTTACTAAATCTCCTATTTATACAAGTACGATGGAAACTTTTGGACATCTCCGATTAATCCGATGATCTATATGTACGATACAATGCGTGTAGATGCGTGTATGTTTGTATCTGAGGTAGAAGCGGTTTCGTATACACCTATGTACGTATGTATATTAAAATGTGATTGCTCTCACCGTTTGCTCGTTTCTTTGAAGGAAAACGAAGAAGCAGGGAGAAAATGGAGTGATCGAGAAAGGAAAGGAAGAGGAGAGGATTATTTTGGGTAACCAGTGGCGTTTCAATCAGAAAATGCAACCGAACGGATGTCCGAGCTTTTTAAGGACATTTCACTGCGAGAAGGCAGTTTGATTATTTCAAAACTATGCACAAAATATTCGCTTCTGTTTTGGATTTGTCAATATACACGATTTCTACAGAATCTTTTTTCACCCTCGAATGGCGGTGGATCGATTGTGACCCAGATGCACGAATTACGTGCAGGGTAATCGACCAGACACGGTCGAATTTGTGAAAAGCTTTACAACTCGAGGAAAGCTTATTGTTACGAAATGAAAATTCATGAGAAGCGAAGAGCCTGAAATTAAATTGTTGCCATTTGAGAGATTCACAAGTAACCCTTTTAACGACCCTTTTCACGACCGACAGAAATGAAAAATTCCAAAATCCTGGGTTATGGTTTTCTCGATTCGCAGTGAAAGCAGAAACGTAGAAAACGAAATTCAAAACCTTTTTCCTAACCTACGAAATAAAGAAAACATCGTTTTTCAAACGATTCGAATAACTGAAGACTGTACAATACCCTTTCTAAAAGTAATCTACATCTTGTATATATGTACATATATATAAACTAACAACGAATAAGAAAGAAGAAACCGTATTTTGTTGTTTCTCTGAACGAAAAAAAGAAGGAGTAAGGAACAACAAGAAAAATGGCGGGAAACTGAACGTTTCTCGAGACCATTCCTGATAACGTTCGAGAAGAAAAAGAAGTTCGAAACATTCGTCCGGCAACGAAACACCACGTAACAAAACAACCAACAAAGAACAAACACATTTCAACAAGAACAATAACCACAAAAATGGTGCTTGCTGGTTGGCGCGCGGGAAATTCAAAAAGGTGAAAGGTCTGACGCGTCTGAGATGTGGAGGAGGAGAGTCGAATAGATTGTTCAGCGGTGCTGAGAACAGAGACGAAGAAAAATTATGCTCAGATCGAAAAAGTACGTCCATTGAAAGAGGAATGCGTTCCTCGTTTCTGAAACGTTAATCGTCTACCTGTTTTCTCTCTTTCTCTTCAGGTGGACTCCTGCTACTTCCTCTTCTTTAACCCATTAATACCCAAATTTTCTGATTGAGGGATTTAGGTAACTTTGATATCAAGTGATAAAGTTCGAAATTTTGTGATTTTTGGAAAAGTTAGAAGTTTGGAAACTTGAAAATTAGCAAAAATATTAATAGCTTAATTGCAAGTATTTCTAATAAAGAATTAACGTATAAAATATCATATTTTGAATTTTTGGAAATTAATGGGTTAAAACAGTGATTCAATGATACTCCTCTTTGCTCTGTCACGATTAACAAAACACAAAGAGCAAAATTCGAAAAATAAAAGAATGAAGATGATCGAAGATGAAGAGAATCCCTCATACACTTACATACGTAATTAACATATTTGTGCGTAATATAGCAATCATCGAATTCCACGAAATCGATGACCATCGTCTCCTAACATTAATCATTAATCGATCGAAGAGAGAAAGAGAGAAATAGACGGAGACAACTAGAAAATGGCGTAACAATACACCAAATGATCCCTACTATACACTCAACTATTGCATCGCTTGATTATTGATTTATGTTATTAAATCTTATCGACTATTATACTTTGTAGTTTGTACTTGGTTTTCATATTCCTGAGAAAAGGACTCGTGGCACGGATGGTCGTTCACAAACGACCAATCCCCGTTTCGAATTTATTCTGTTAACTATCATCTGCGATTTATTTTTTTTTTTTTCGTACGTCATCGTCATCGTCGTCGTCATTTTTTCAAAATCGACGGATTGTGCCTCTGAGACGATTCTATCGTAAAATACCGATTTAACTGTGCGTTATGTACAGAGATTTATAAGTTTAATTCTTTTTTGTTTCCTTTCTGCACCCTGTATGTTTTACTGTGTGAGGTAGCATTTGTACTAGTATGTGACGAAGTATTGTGATCCGTTATTGTGACGGTCGACGACAGGAAGTGCATCCGTGGATCGGTCCCGGAAGGACTCGAGCTCGTATCTGGCAGTGTCGAGTTTCTCCAGTCTTTTACTTTTCTCTATTTATTAGCGCGTTGATTGTCACAGTTGATTAGAAAAATTTTATTAATATGATGTACCTGAACACATTGATTGTCGTGGATCGAATAACAAATTCATTAAAAACAAGAAAATTTTGAAGTAGTATTATAAACTACTTCGATAACAATATAAGTTTGTTTCCTCAATTCTTAAATTTTCCAATGAAATATTTTTGTAGACTTCATAATTAAATTCACTTTCATGTTCTAATTTTACAAAGTTAATATTTGAGCACCCTCTGTACTCATAGTTGATTACATGAAATTTATTGATCTATTAATTTGTTAAACTTGAAGATAAGAAAGGTAGTATGACTTCCTTGACAATCAAGATGTTAACATGTTTCAGTTTTAATTTACAAGCATAAGTTTTTTATTCATTGACCTCCGTGACAACCAACGCATGCGACAAAATGGACGATCTTGTTTTCGAATAATCGCAAAGGTACCATTCTATCTATTGACCATTAATCTCTTAAAAAAAAACAGTCTGTATAAACGATCTCAACAATCCTGTAACTATCGTAAACTATTGCGAGTTATTTGGTATAAAATACGATCACATGGACAGTCATTGAATAATCAGTTCTGTGGCTCCACGGAGGAAGAGGTACACTTAGGATAATAAAACTAGTGAACAAGTTAATCTAAGAGTCTGCTATCGTCCTGAAACTGATATGTAAAGTGTTGTTTCAACCTGTAATTCGCTTAAAGTAATGACCCCTTTCTCCTGGAAACTGTGAAAACATTGTATGTACCCCGTCGAGTGGACAATATTACGCTACGAGTCATCGAGTGTTCACCTCGACATCATTATTTTCTACGTTAAGGGACACATCACAGTACACGGCACTATATTTATAGAATCACTTGCAAACTGGTAAATTGTACGATGGAAATGCGAGAGATTTTCAACGTCCACCAAACGGAATGTACATTCGGGTGCGAGGTAAGCTTTCTTTGAGTAAGAGAGTACTGAACAAAATTTAGAGTGAGAATTAAAAAGTTTGAAAATGATCTAGGAAGAACCTGTGTATAATTAAACATTTTCTGATTTAGGAATTTAAGAATTCAAAAGATTGATAACTGGAAGATTTTGCAATTTCCGAGATTTAACCAAGAACATAGGTCCTTGAAAAATAATCTAAAAAGAGTAATAAGTGTTAAGAAATTTAAAACCTAAGCTCTTCTCTCTTGATGAAAGAAAGCCTAAGATGCACCCGGCCATACAAGAGCACCTATTATAAGAAATGCGATAGAAATGCAGTAGAATGAGCTTAATAAAAAGTGACGATGAACGAATCCTCGACCAGCCACCGATGCATTCGCCTGTTCGTCCCCCGTTTCAACTATGATATACAAATAATTAGCATTATCGTCATCGTCGTGGTCGTCGTCGATCGTGTTACGTTCTACAGCGTGTATAGTAAGTTTACAAAAATCCTTCACATTTTCTCTTGTATCCGTAATCGCGTTTCTATCGTTTTACCCCTTAACATTAGTTTACTTTGTACTATAAGTCGCGGCCGCTCGAAACCATATCGAGGGTCGCACGCCGCCAAAATCGAAGCCCCGCCCTGCGACAATATGAGCCCTACCGTTTACAATAATTAATCGTTAATCGTTATTATTATTATTCATCTTACCGCGAAAGGTTCGTTACACGTTCTCGATATATCGCGTGTCTCTCTCGGTGTACGTGTGTATGTATGTGTGTCTCTTGTGTATACGTTCTTTTTTTTTTTAAGTTTTTTCCTTTCATCAATGTTTAAATATGCATAATGCGTGCGTGATACATGTACTATACAATCATTATCAACTATGGTATAGTACTATTTATATACTATACGATGAATCAAACAGTATAGAGCAGTTGCAGGTGCAGCGATAACATCGACCCTCCTTCGCGATTCGCGAGCACCCAACCATCTCCTTCTTCTTTTCGACCATTTTGTTTTCCCTTTTATTTGCCCGCGACTCCGTTATCCGAATACTAGCGACGAAGGATTACCATCTCTTTTTTTACTCGTTTTTTTTTTCACTTTTTAAATCACGGAAAGCCCGTTTACACCGGGAGTCTCGGTCGCGCATTCGAGCACCAACGCTTTGCCGACAATTTATGGTCTACCTTTAATTACCTCGATTAATTTTCGATTCTCTCGACGCTTGACGAGCGACGCCCGCGCAACGGTCGACGGACCCACCGGTGTAAAGCTCGCCTCGCCAAGCTGTGTCACACACGACATCTATAAAGGATTTTCAATCCGTAAAACACATATTATAGAAACAACATGCAACATTTTATCCTACGCCGTGATACAATAATGGTACATACGTGTATGCGTACGGCCTCGCGTGGCTTCGTAACGTGGATATATGCACGCGACGTGTACGCACGTATCGCGCCCTTTCTATGTGTGTACTATGTGCGTGAGTGTATACGTGTGTACGTGTCTGTGTGTGTATGCGTTGCACTCTGGGATACGGTCGGACAAAATTCAACAACGTGCAAGAAAAAGGAAAACGATAAACCACCTTCTCGAGGTGTGTACAATTTTTGAAATTCGAAGCGTTCTTCAGCCACACACCCGAGGAATTATGAACGAGTATTCGTTGCAAACGTGCAGTGACGTTCGAAAGGATTTTGCGGTTACGATATAATTAAGGATTCTCCCAATCGAAAGGTGAGTTCTTTGTCCCAATTCCGTGTCGACCATCTAAATATATACCCATCATTCGCCTCTACACGCTCCACTCTTTGTTCATCATACATATACATATGTACAGTGTACGCTATGGTGTGAAGTAGACTTTGCTTAAGAGTAAATGTAGAACTCTAGGGAATTCCAAAATGTTTCTAGAAACGATTCCGAGATCTAGAGAATCCTAAGTAATCAGTGGGAGATTGTGAACAATTTTTAGGAAATTTGGAATCTGCAAAAATTTTGGGCGCAGTGATGAATTTTAGAAAATTGAAGAATCATGGAAATTCTTAAGAAATTCTAGGAATTTAAAGAATTCCAAGAATTCTATGGAAATCTGAGGAATTATAAAGATTGGAGTCTAAGGAATTCTAGAAAATCCTGTGGAGAACTTCACGAGAGCTTAAAGGTGCCAAAATGAAAGGTCAGATGTACCTTGGATACCGTACTGAGAAATTTTAAATGTACCTAGAGTCCCCTAGTGAGAAAGCTGACGTATCTGATGAGTCATAGAAAATTCCAAGAATAAGTAATTCACGAAGAGGAAAATTTAGAGTCTGCACTTCCCAAGAAAAGCCTACGTCATACCCCAGTGTACACGCGTGCACCCCTCCGTTTTTTGTTACTAAGCAACTAAAGAAACTTGCGAGACCCCAAAATGTTCGCGCGAACGGTTCACCTCGGCCTCTAGTCATCCCAAACATTACCTAAGAGGAATTAAAAAAAAAGAATATGCTAAAGAAAAGTGTAAACTTAACGCTAAGAGTTGCTCGTACGACTTAAACATTATCGATCATATTTGTTCCGATTATCATCGCTTCTGCTTGGCAGAGTAGCCGAGGACAAAAATAACATGTTCGACTTAATTTAACAAAAAAGAAAAGAAAATTAACAAGAAAAAAGATTCGACCGTCATACGTGATTACTAGCTTATTTACACCCGCGTACGCGTGTTACTCGGCCGTGTGCGACGTATCCCATGCGTGTTTAGCGTGTGTATGTGGTATCCACGTGTCTCTACGTGTACGTGTGCGTGTATGTTCCTAGTATCATCACATACGTAAACGACACATAACACTTTTTTTTTGAATAATCCCTTTTACCGCAGCATCCTCGATCCTCCCTCTATGACTAATTTTTTCACGTCGTCTAAAATGTTTCGAAGACCATCCTCGATAAAAATTCATTCGCAGTGCGCTCGAAAGGATATCGGTATTCACCCTCGCGTCCGAATAACAATTTTTCCTCGTACGCTCCGTAGCATTCTGTTTCTTTTTATATTTTCCCATTATTTCTTTTCTGCTCTTTCCATTTGCCAGCTCGTTTCGAAGATTTTTTCCATTAGTGCAACCCCGATCGGAAAACGCGAAATCCGCCGACGAAACGAGCACGTGTGCACGCGACACAATTTCTTCTATTATCTCAGTTTCCACACCCTCTACCAGTTTTATCCCTTTGCGCCTTCTTTTATCCCACAACCCCCTCCGTCGTGCATTACGCCCCCGCGATCGACATTTCTCGCGTGATTTCAAATTTTTCGTTCGTCGTGCGCGAACCGTATCTGTCGCTTTTTCCTTTCTTTGAATTTTCTCCAGGTTTCCTGATAAACAAAAAATCAAAATCGCTATCGCTCCAAAAATCGAACCTCGCTGCTGAACGATGAAATCGCTGTGATTGTTTCTCACCGGATAAACGTGCTTCGAAATCACGCAGTCTAGCACACACACACACATACACTCTCTCGTACGCACACATTCGACCACTCGTGTATCTTATTGTTTCTAGCCGTCAGTTGTACATACGTCGTACGCGCGCGCGCAAAGATGGCGTATCTTGGTTAACGCGTCAAAGATATATTACACTTCGTTACAATATACTTTAATAAAGCTTCAGATTTTCAACGAGGTAATTAAAGATTAAATTAAATGTTAAATCAGATATAAAGACGTACACGGTACGAGGGTTAATATAAAAATTAACAGGTCATTATAATATTAAATTAATAGTAGTGGTGGGTACATTAATATTATCTAAATTAACGCTACATCAGATGTGCATAAGGGTTAACCAAGGGAAGCCATTTCTGCACCCGAGCGTATGCGGCTTTGTAAAAAAAATCGGATCTATTATATTATAATATGTAGAGCTTATATATCACGTGTGACCACGATCTCGATAGTATTTCGCTGGCTGGAAATGTCTCGAACAGCGAGTGGACCCTTTGACAACGTTTAAATAAGATTTGCGTGATCGTTTAGATTACGATGACAGTACGGTGTAACGAAGAGGAATTCCAGCGAAAATCTTCGAGATCTACCCTTCGAAGGGTATAACAGCGGTAGTTCCGACACTAATCAGACAAGTAGTAGCGGCTGTACGGAATGTACAGATGTTAATATCGTGGTCTCTCAATGTTCCCTGTGTTTGTTTTGTCATTATAAAAACGATGAGGTAGTACTGTTATACAAGTGTTTGGCAGAACGCGGGCAAAAATCCCCGCGATTCAGTAGCGTAGAAAAAAAATAAGTAAACGAAAAAAAAGAGAGAGAGAACGAACAAGAACACATGCAACGCGTAATCAAAAAAGAGTACGAAAAAGAAAAAAAAAAGGTACGAAACGGACAAAACATATATACGTTTCACTGTTTCTGCAATAACCTAGCTTGACCATATAAATACTAAATAATTCTCTATTATCTATTGTCTTTGATACCGTACGGTATTCGCGTATCGTTGTGAGATAACTCTTGGTTAAACTTCATCTTCTGTAACGCAACAAAGAGAAAAAAATAAAGAAACAAGAACAGGGGGATGGGCGGGGTTTGGGGGGCGAGTAGAAAAATAAAACGAAGAATCAACGAAAAACACGGTGGAGGGTACAAGAAATAAAGAGAGATAGATAAAGTCTGTAGTAATAAAAACGTGTCAATACTGCAACAAGTAATATCGTGGTGCCATCCTGACTAGGAGTATCTATATATCTATCTATAGGTAATGTAATATAATAACTATTGCATTGATCACATTCTATACAACCGGTCTAGCAATTATCCCTATGCTCTTTGTTCATTTCTGGTCTATTGATTATTATATCCCCTATTATATCTCGACTATTGCTTCGGACAAAAGTCCGTATTAAACATTGTAAACAGGTAACAAAGTGGTAGTGATTGTACGCGTGACTTAACGTGTCACGTTTCGATTTCTCTTGGCGAATGCGTCTCGTTAAAAATACATTTTCTGAACTTGGTTAACCATTGCTATTATACGTTACTATCGCGTCATAGGAAATCACGTACTATCACGAGCAACATATATATACATATGTTTAAACTAAATGCACGTATATTCGGCTATATTCGGCTCACGCTTTACGAATGTCACGTAATAACAATGTAAAATCACGTAACTTCGCGTGACGCGATATTAACACCCTAACTTGTATATAAAATGAAGTTATGGCAAAGTAAAATATATTTCGGTGTAAGAGTATTATTTCGTGTGGACATTGAACGCATTCGCCAAGAAGAATCTACACGAGATACAGTAACTCGACAGCCTGTCTGTTCCAGTAATCGTAGTAATAATCTCATAAATCTTTTATAAAACGGTATATCTATACAAAACAAAGATGAGAAAAAATATACGTCTGCATCGGAGTACGGTAAAATGCACCACTCTCTTCTGGATATGTTTTGTGGGTTAGCTTCTTGCTAGGAGACGCTGTCGAGCATCCTAATCTTCCTCAAAGAAAATGGCGATGTACGATTACTAAAAAATTTGCAAGATTTAAAAATTTCAATAGTACCAAGTTGTTCTTCAGTAAAGGGGAGAAACGTTCTTTTAATACACGAAAAATGTAGCACATCTGGTTAAAAACGAAACAGCTCTAAAACGAATTCCAAATCGAATAATCGTCCCGTGCGAACAAGACGTAAACGCCAGCCAAGTGATGGGTCTCGTACATCATCTTTTTCCCTAGGGGAAACTAAGACGCTCGACAACGTACAAACTAAGATGCGATTCTGATCCAGAGTTGTTTGATTTCCCGTGTTTTTGGCACTAACGCGTAAAGTAGATATATCACCCGTGTCTCGACCCTAGGCTCTCGACATCAACAGCAATAATAGTACCAGTTATTCCCTGCGGCATGTCAGTATATAACAGCGTTTAATGCGGCGATGGCATCAATGATGCGATAGTAGTTCGGTAATTCTTAATCCAATGGTAACGTTCAACTATCGAATATACAGTAAAAGGTAGCGGCAGTAAGTAGACACTTTTTTTTCGTTAATTAAACCTATTTTCGCGACGGCGCATGCGCCATTTCGTGCTCGATACCGCGTGTTTCTTGGTACGCAACGAACGTTCTTCCGGGGCGTCGAAACGCGCGGAGTGAATTAACGAAAAATAATTAAAAAAAAAAAAAAAAATAGAAGAAAAAAAAGACAGAGAAAACAAAAACATCTATTTCGCTTATTGTATACGATTCACCTGAGATATGCGTCTTTTTTTCTTCGTTACTCTCCTTTCTCTCTTTAGCGTTCGTGAATCCGCGTCCGGTTTCTTCACGTTTCTCTATCCTCCGGTGTTTCACGCATTGTTTTCTTTCTTTTCTCTACTTCTCTATTTAATTCGCGTTCTTTAAAGCGTTTCTAGTTAATAACTCTTACTCGACGTTGCACTTTCATTGACTAGTTTTGTGATTTGCAGCGTATCCGCGAGCGTGTCCGAGGCGCGACGCGCATAATTCCCTACCTCTGTGCATAGCTACGCGAGCAATCGGACGTCGACGTTTTTCCCGAGCTCCTTTCCTCTTCTGATCCTCCGTGAATTCCATGGATCACCGTGACAATTTTTCCTACACGGTCAACGCCTCCGGCCTCATCCGAATCCGACGTCCATCCTCAACGAAGCGCTGTCGTGCAGGCTTAAAAGGAACTGTGGATCTATAAAAATAGATTCGAAGAGTCAGACGGATCACGGATTAAGAACCGAAACCAACAAGGACGTCGTGTTACGAGGTGAACCCCGAAGAACCACCCTAGGGTTAACATCCTGTCCGTCTGCCATGGATCCATTTCCGTGCAGAAGACCCGGGTAGCTCGCAGTTTAATTGACAACTATTGCGAACGGACCCGGTCAGGATGACCCAGCAGGTCGCGTCGTTCCCTTTGTAGTCCTGTCGTCGAAACGCGTTCTTCGGTTGCTGTCAAACGCAGCGAGGCGAGTTCACGAGGGAAACGACGAATCCAGAATGTCGCGACACGGGATGAGGATGGCGTTGACCGACTACCAAACCGGGAAGGTGGACCTTCCATCTTCCTCGTAATCGTTCGGGTTACTCGATGTCACTCGCGGGTTACTCGAGTAGCCACCGGGCTGCCTCCGCGACGACGACAACGATCACGACGACGATCGTGGCTAAGACGACGACAACGACGATGACGACCACGAGGATGTCGTTACTGCGGCACCGAGTCCGACATCGAATGGTTCGACTGCTGGAACGCCTTCAGGTTCAACTCGGCCTTGTGCTCGCGTGCGATGTGCCGTCTCACTGTGTTGTTCCGCGTGAAGGTCCGCGTACAGAACGGACACGGCACCCTGATACCCTGGTGACGTTGCCGTATGTGGGCCCGCAGATTCGTCTCGTACCCGTACAGTCTCTCGCAGAACGGACACTTTAGCTTCTTGCCTGAAATACGACAAATCGACGTTGTTAGTCATGTTACAGATTTGAGCTACTGTTGGGAGCTGAGAAAATTGCGGTCGAGATGAGAGAAGCAACCTCCACATCGCCTTTTCTCATCCTTCACGCTCTTTGTCTTTACACCATGTTATTTTTTAAACAGTTACGAAAAGTTCATGTGTGTCCATCTAAAATTAACTTATTTTGTGTCTATCGGTCAGAGCCTATCTTCTTAGCTCCAGACATCAACGGACTTTATAAACTATAACCTTGAGACAATTGGGTGTGCATATACACTTTTCAAACTACAGTTGTAGACAAGTGTTTATGAACGACAGCAATGTTTGTATTTCATGGAATATTCATTTTATAAAATATTCATGTATTATAGAAGTACTTGTGTTTCAGTATGAAAAAATTATCAATTACATTTGTAATGAAGTGAATGAAAAGAAAATTGGTCATCAGTTCTTTGAACGAGAATGGAGTTCATAGTTACAGGCCAATGGCACCCAGGCGGCCGGCACGTGTAAGCTTGTCGAGAACCGCTGCGATTCCCATCGGTCACGATCGAATCGCATTGAGGGCGGCATTTACAAACGTTAGTATTTTCCTAAGGCCACGGGGAACCATTCATTAGCGCCTAAGGACTGGCATTAAGGGGAATCCACTGTAACCGTTCTCGATTCGTCCCGTTTCTTTCAGAATATCACGAGACCGCTTGAAGAAGGTTCGGTTGTGATTCGAATAATTTTTTTTGTTGATACATTATTTGTTAGTAATAAATACATTAACAATGAAATTACAAAAAGAATTATCAAATTTCATATTTCAAGTTAAACAAAATTTAAGACTTTCTTGAAATGTGAAACAAGGAAATATTGTGAATTATTGTGTCTTCGAATGTTGTCAGGAAGTGTTTAATAACATATTAATATTCATGAAATGCATCGTGAATCAGTTTACAAACGTGACGTGTGAAGGTGCGTCACGATCGATTCACCTTCCGTTGAACTTATGTGACTCATAAGTTGCAATTTTAATGAAAATGCTTATGTAAACTTGGTGGAAAATTAACTTCCGATCTGTGAAATTTCTTAATAAGATTCCAAGATTTCTATATCCACATATGACTATGTGCTTCGATTCGCAGATCCCATATTCCTAGATCTCCAAATTTCTACATCCACATATGATCAAGATAATCACCGCAGATGACAAAAGCCAACAAGTCGATCATAATGCTACCATACAAAAATAATTGTATCTCAGAAACGATTACCCTTTCAACGTGAGTTTTCCAAGGTTTTTACGCTACGTGCAGTGTGCCTATACCGAATGAATATCGAACGATTTTTCAGCGTTCCATAGGATCGGAGCATCGCAGAAAGAGTAAAGTGGGCCGCGGGGCACGATTTCGTGCAGCTGACTGAAATTCACAAAGGATCGCTGGCGAAACAAAGGCTCGGAATCCGTGAAGAAGTCCTCTTACGTGGAACGGGCCCGAGTGGGGAGGAAATGCGTGAGCCGATGAGACGGAAGCTGAGAAGAAGGGCAAAAACAGAGATCACGAGCAACGGAGAGGATGCTACACGAGCGAGGGAGACGCGTAGAAATTAAAAGGGACGAAAACGAAGAGAGAGGAAGATGATTGAAGGGGAAAAGGGCCCGCGGGGTAGGTACGCCCCTGAGACATGCAGAAACGCAAAACGCCGGTGTCGGCGTTTAAAGAAGCGAGAAAGATCGCTTCCGCGAAAGGATACGCCATCTGCCCTGCCTGGAAATTTTCGGATTCTGAATTTCGCGTGTATCGACGATTATTACGGGACATCCTTCGTCCCCCTTTTTCACTCCCCAGAAATGTATCGAGGAGGCTAATCTCCGACCAACCGGACCGCCCGGTGTGTTTTCGTGTTTAGGCGATCGATTAAATCGCCCGGAGTTCGGACTATCGATAGAGGATAAGTGCGGCTTGCAGTTGACAGATCTCTCGTGTTCGGAGCCTGTTTCGAAATCGTGCTTAAGGACCTTGCTCCTTTTTCTTACCGTGATGGATCGTAACCTCGTCACTCACTTCTTTCGTTTTCATGCTTTTTGTGGAACGAGGGATGTAATTTAGCGGTAACTGCGCATTTTTCTCATGTTTGGTCAAATTTGGTAGTTCAATATTTAGTGAGCATATGTACAAAACTAAACTTTTAATGTGGATTTTATGGACTGTCATGGTATTTGTTTATGAAGATGAAATCGAATAAAAGTATCAATGTTAAACTTGTGGAAGTTCGACTAATATTTCAACACTTCGTAAGAGTGAATATCTTATATGTTATAAAATAAGTCACAATGTAATGTTTGGTAGTATACGACACGATAATACATGATGCAGCGATGTACAATGTATCGATATACATATAATATGTCGGTGTACAATGTGTTGATATACAACTCGTCCATATACACCGATATACAGCGTGCTGATATATGACATGACGATATGCAACGCGTCGATATACAACATATTTGAACACATGCGTGACAATATACAGACATGACATAAAACTGTCTAAAAAATTAACCCTTTACACTATGACTTATTTGTCAGGTGCGTCAGTCAGAACTAATTACAGCTACATTAAAACAGACGAAAAAAATTGAAATATTATATCAATATGTTATTATTCAATTATTGACTATGCAAATTATAATTGGACTTGATCTCCAAATTGGAGCGTATTCAAAATTTCAGTAAAATTGATCACGGCCAAGGTAAGACGCCACGAGTCAGACTCGTCAAAATAGTGCAAGGGGTTAATAATACCATGTTAAAAAAAATATAATATTTCATTACGAATGCAAAGTTTTCATCGATTGCGTGCAGCGACTGCAGTAGAGACGGAAAGAAGCTCAGATAACCTCAGCAGTGTGAGACAGGGGTTTATTTCTAGACAGTCTGGAAGACGGATAATTGGGTGGCGGGATGATAATCAGTCAACGGGTAACTTGCGTAGCTGCAAATAAAAAAAGAACTGCTGGCATGCGTTTGACGCATAGTATTCTTCTGATTACATAACGTCGCGTGTCGCGGTCGATCGACGGCAACGTGTCCCGCGATGCATCCGGCCTTGAATCTTTTCAATCGGCGTAAAAATGTAAAGAAAGAAAAAAAAAGAAAATAAATGTTTCCACATGCATGAACGGGACGAGAATGCAGAAGAAGAGAAACGTTTTCTCTTGCCGATGGTGTAATTTTCGGGAAAAATTATTTTGAGCGTTGCTACATGTGTGCGTGTAACGAAATTCGCGGAAGGTGACCCTGACACGTGCTTGCAGAATAATAATACTGTAACGCCGTGATACGAGCCCCGTAACGATATTGTGCATATAAATAATCGTTTCCTCCGAAAGACTGAAAAATTTCTGTGTTATCGTAAACAAGGTCGCCGCATTCATCGAATTAATTTATGACACAAGTGTATTTTTGAATTCGCTGCGCTCTGCGATATTTCCTTTTCAGATATTCGATTGCACTAATCGTTGAACAATCATTTATTTTCTTTTTCGGTTTCGAAATATCTCTTGTCGCGATACATTTCGGAGAGTTGCAGTAATGCAAACACGATTACGTTTTGTTAAGACGCCTTCGTTAAACGTGCTGCTTCTTATCGTGTAAATACTGATAATGATCTCAATATTTACGTTTCATTTGATCGAAACTCGACGTTTCTTATAATTCATTCTTGTACGTTTCAATAAAGTTCAATACCCATAAAAACGAAGAATTTTTAACCTTGCTTCAAACAGGCTAAAATTGTTCAAGTACTCTATTGGAATAATTCATGGAACTCTCATTCATGTTTGGACTCATTCATTTTCCATAGCATATTATACATTGAGTTACCATGTATTATATTTGTAGCTGAAATTACCGTGCTTCATACACATATCAACATATGTGGAATTTCGTCTTATATTGTTACACATGAAATTACAAGTGACCACTCATAAACTGACTACAGTTGCAATAACCAGTTGCAATAACCAATCACCAATAATGCTTTATACCAGCACTCGTCACACTAATACGGTCATAATCGGAAAAAATTGATTAACAGAACTAATACGTTCAGTTCCTCGAACGAGAAAAATCTCGAAACGATGCTATAAATCGATGGGAAGTACGGCATTTCCGAATCGGCCTTCGATTTCTTGTGCGTGTTCGAGCGAAGGGCCGATGCGAGGAAATCCCGCAACAGTTCGCGTCCGGTCGGCTCCGAACTGCGTGGACTTAACAGAGAAAGAAAGGAAGAGAGAAAGAAAGAGGGGAGAAAATGGAAAGGTTCAGTTACGAGACGCAGCAGCCTCCAAGGTCTCCCCCTTCCATCCTCCGGGAAGGCTTGACCCTATAGCTCCCTTTTCGGTTGAATGGATCGAACTAACGAATAACATAAAGAAAGCACCGATACAGCCCTACGACAACTCGCAGCGGCTTCGCAACGATCGATCGATCGCCATTGGATAACGTCAATCTTATATGTGGAATTTTTACCCCGGATTCATCCGATGGAACGTTTTTGTCAGCTACCGCTTCTCAGCTGCGTGACATCTTCAAGATTCTCTTCCTTTACAGGTTTCGAAACCCAGTTGCTTTTCGCGTTATCGTCGCGGATGTTCGTGGGTGGATATCATTTAATATGGACAAAATTTTCAGATTTCTTAGATAGTCAAATGTAGAAATTTTTACTGTAAGGGTGAAATATGTACATGTCAAGGTTACATCCTAGATTCCTATTCCGGAAAATTTTCATGCACCTAGATTTCCTATATTCCAAGAAAAGACATCTTGTCACAAAGTGCGTCGTAAGTAGCAAAACTCAAATTTGTTATACATCGTATGTATGTACATCGTGATTGCACCGAGTGCTTCATAAGATACGAGCTTCAAAAATAATCTGCCGTGATTAGACAAGATAAATTTCTGCAACTTATTTGCAATGTTGTATATTACA